ATATGTGTGAGAGGTAACTTCTAGTCTCAATCAAAATATTAATAGGAATGATCTGGCAGCTGATCTACTTTAAAGTCACTTCTTTGGCCAAACTAGTGACTTATTGGTCATGTCCTGCACTACTACGAACAACATGTTTCTGTTCCCAGTCCCGGCCTCTTGTACTGAGTTGGGAGACCTGGAGAAGTAAAGGGACTCTGTTCCGTGTAGAAATGAGCAGGATCTTAAAATATATCTGTTACTTAAGGAGTAGTGTTGTCTGACTGCAGACCAGAGAAAACCTGGTTGGATCCCCAGGAGTGAGGAGACCAGGAACAAGACAGATGAAGTGGGTGAAAGGACACTTACATTGTTTTTGACTAGTTTCTATCTTTGTCATGCACAAATTTAAACAAGCCTGGACCTAAGAGACTGCATCAGAATCAAGACAGTTGGCTTGCAACTACAAATAGACCATGTGGGTGTATCCCATGTGACCAATTTCCAACAAATGCAACAGGGCACATGCTGATGCCCCATACCTTCCCCAGCTTCTATTTATGGCTCCACACAGACTTTTCATTCTGTGCACTATATAAAAAAATCCAAAGAGTAGTTGAGTTTCACCACCACTATTTCCATGTCACACCTTGATGTTCTCTAGAGCAATGTTTCTCAACCAGTGGTCCCTGACGCAGTTTAGGAAGGCAGCAAGCCGGTCCCTGGTATCAACAAGGGTGAGAAGCACTGCGCTAGAGAAAGGAAGCAGCAGCTTATTACACAAAGTCTTACGTTCTCTTGTCTCAAAGGATCCGATGAGCTCTGAACCTGCCAAGGCCTAGGCGTGGGTGGCAAAAGATTCAAACTAAGGAGTGCAAAGATATTACAGGAAGCTTTAAAGTCATAGGGTTAATTTATTTATCATGAATGGTATTGAAACAGAGTTCACAGCCAGAATTCTGCATTTCTGGGATTAATTATTTACAGTTACAGAGAGAACAGGCTGTAGGAGAACGGGAAACTGTCCAATTCACAGCCTTTCTCATGCCCAGCTCAAGGCTCTTGAGGTAATCCATGCTCACAAATTACCTGAAACAGCTGCAACATCTGGCCACTTGTACCAAGACTTTGGACCATTCCTGCAGAATATTACAGTATTTGTATAAGCACTAACATGTCTAGGGAAGATGATGTCAAGGCCTCCTACCACTACTAAGCCTTAGTGACTATTCTGTGATCATTCTCCACTGAAACAGTCTGCATGTGAGACTGGAATCTGATGCCAAATTCAATGGACATATTCACAGATTGGATTCCATAACATCAGTCAGCCAGGACCCAGAGTGGTCTCAAACCACATATCCCCACCCAGTGTTGGAATCTAATTTCTTCATATGTCAGGACATGGACAGCTTGTTTAAATACATTTATAATACTGTTTGTTTCCTCGGAGAGGGCAGGAAAACATTTCTAATGCTAGACAGCAGCAATGGAGATACCAAGGCAAGACAATTCAAATTTGTCACCAGTGTAACCCCATGTGACTGCACCAACCCTTAGGGTTAGTAGAACTTGTTAGCAAACCGTGGATTTGTTAACCTAGGACTTAAGTGTCTACACTCATTTGTAACCCCAGGTTAGGAATCGTTGAACCCAAGGTCCCAACCTGGGGTTCCAGCATCTACAAAGCATTATGTTACTGCCCATAGCCAGGACCTAGCACCCTCCCACTCTAGCCCTTTGTTCGTGGTTCAGTATGGAAAAACATTACTGTCCACCAAACTTAACTGTCCAGAGGACACAAAGTCAAGCCCATGGAATTGTGAGATACTTTTAAAAAAAGAACAGGAGTACTTGTGGCACCTTAGAGACTAACAAATTTATTAGGGCATAAGCTTTCGTGGGCTACAGCCCACTTCTTCGGATGCATATAGAGTGAAACATATATTGAGGAGATATATATACACACATACAGAGAGCATGAACAGGTGGGAGTTGTCTTACCAACTCTGAGAGGCCAATTAAGTAAGAGAAAAAAACTTCTGAAGTGATAATCAAGATAGCTCAGTACAGACAGTTTGATAAGAAGTGTGAGAATACTTACAAGCGGCACTGCTATGGGTATCCGCATGGCCCCACAGTATGCCAACATTTTTATGGCTGACTTAGAACAACGCTTCCTTAGCTCTCGTCCCCTAATGCCCCTACTCTACTTGCGCTACATTGATGACATCTTCATCATCTGGACCCATAGAAAGGAAGCCCTTGAGGAATTCCACCATGATTTCAATAATTTCCATCCCACCATCAACCTCAGCCTAGATCAGTCCACACAAGCAGTCCATTTCCTGGACACTACTGTGCTAATAAGCGATGGTCACATAAATACCACCCTATACCGGAAACCTACTGACCGCTACACTTACCTACATGCCTCCAGCTTCCATCCAGGACACACCACACGATCCATTGTCTACAACCAAGCTCTAAGATATAACCGCATTTGCTCCAATCCCTCAGATAGAGACAAGCACTTACAAGATCTCTATCAAGCATTCTTAAAACTACAATACCCACCTGCTGAAGTGAAAAAACAGATTGACAGAGCCAGACGAGTACCCAGAAGTCACCTCCTACAAGACAGGCCCAACAAAGAAAATAACAGAACACCACTAGCTGTCACCTTCAGCCCCCAGCTAAAACCTCTCCAGCGCATCATCAGAGATCTACAACCTATCCTGAAAGATGATCCTTTACTCTCACAGATCTTGGGAGACAGACCTGTCCTCGCTTACAGACAACCCCCCAACCTAAAGCAAATACTCACCAGCAACCACACATCACTGAACAAAAACACTGACCCAGGAACCTATCCTTGTAACAAAGCCCGATGCCAACTCTGTCCACATAGCTATTCAAGTGACATCATCATAGGGCCTAATCACATCAGCCATACCATCAGGGGCTCGTTCACCTGCACATCTACCAATGTGATATATGCCATCATGTGCCAGCAATGCCCCTCTGCCATGTACATTGGCCAAACCGGACAGTCTCTATGCAAAAGAATTAATGGACACAAATCTGACATCAGGAATCAGAATACTCAAAAATCAGTGGGAGAACACTTTAACCTGTCTGGCCATTCAATGACAGACCTGCGGGTGGCTATCTTACAACAGAAAAACTTCAAAAACAGACTCCAACAAGAGACTGCTGAGCTGGAATTGATATGCAAACTAGATACAATCAACTCAGGATTGAATAAGGACTGGGAATGGCTGAGCCATTACAAACATTGAATCTATCTCCCCTTGTAAGTATTCTCACACTTCTTATCAAACTGTCTATACTGAGCTATCTTGATTATCACTTCAGAAGTTTTTTTCTCTTACTTAATTGGCTTCTCAGAGTTGGTAAGACAACTCCCACCTGTTCATGCTCTCTGTATGTGTGTATATATATCTCCTCAATATATGTTTCACTCTATATGCATCCGAAGAAGTGGGCTGTAGCCCACGAAAGCTTATGCTCTAATAAATTTGTTAGTCTCTAAGGTGCCACAAGTACTGCTGTTCTTTTTGCGGATACAGACTAACACGGCTGCTACTCTGAAACCTGAGATGCTTTTGGCAGCCTCCCAGAGCATGAGTCCAGTGAGGCTGTGTCTATGCTGCAAAGTGACAGGGCTTGAACCCTGAGTCCCAGCTGGACTAAGGTTTGGACCCTCCACTCCCATAGGGTCCTGGGCCTCTAGGTCCAAGACCTGGGTTAAGGCACTTTGTGTGTAGACACAAGGGGGAGTTTAGGCTTCAGCCTGAGTTTGAACCCTAGGCTTACACTGCAGTATAGATGTATCCTTAGGTTATGTCTAGAGTGCGATAAAAGACATGGCATGGCCACAGCTGGCTTGGGCTTGTGAGGCCCAGGCTGGGGGGAGGGATAGCTCAGTGGTTTGAGCTATGGGCCTGCTTAAACCCAGGGTTGTGAGTTCAATCCTTGAGGGGCCCACTTAGGGATCTGGGGCAAAATCAGTACTTGGTCCTGCTTGTGAAGGCAGGGGGCTGGACTCAATGACCTTTCAGGGTTCCTTCCAGTTCTATGAGATAGGTATATCTCCATATATTATTATTTATTATAAAATTGCAGTGTACATATTGGGGTTCAGGAAGTGAGCCCAGACTCTAAGACCCTGTGTGGAGTAAGACTCTCAGAGCCCCAGCTCTAACCTGAGCCCCAACATCTACACCACAATTTAGCCCCACAGCCTGAGTGCCATGAGGCCGAGTCAGCTGACCCAGGCTCTTAGACTTAGTGCTGCAAGTTTTACCCCAGGGCCAGCTGGAGACAGAAGGAGAGTGCTTCAGCATCACAGTCTGACATGCTGCTCCCCGCTTAGCAAAGGGGCACTGCAGACAAATGCAAGAGTCTAAGACCCAGAAGCAAAATAAAACCCAAGATAATTACTCACCCCTTGAAATGCCCACAAAGCCTAAGCAGCATCTAGGTCTCAAAAAAAGTGGGAAGCCTGAACAGTGGTGTCCCTTGTGCGACCAGCTACAGTGCTGCCTGATGCACCCTAGTTGTTAACAAGAACTGGCCCTCCTTACAGCCCTACTTTGCTGAGCCAAGTCCTGTCACTTAGGACACTTTAAACCTTGCCTGACTCCCTCTCCATACAATTTTTGCCCACGCATACCCCCCAGCCTCCTGCCTGCCCCCCCCCGCCCATTCCCTCCTGCTCCCCACGGTCTGATCCCCCGTCTTCTGCCTGCCCCCCCCCCGCCCAATCCCACCTCCTGCCTGGGCCCCCCAGCCCGATCCCTCTTGATCCCCCACTTCCAGCGTAGGCCTCCTCAAGCCGATCCCTCCTGCCCCCAGCCGACTCCTTCTGCTCCCAACCTCCTGCCTGCCCGCCCCCCAGGCCAATCCCTCCTCCCCCCTCGCACCGCCAGCCCGATTCCCTTCTCCCCACCGAGGTCACCGCTCTCCCCGCCGCCCCGGCCGGGCCCTGCTCTCACTTGTCCCTGATGATGGTCTGCAGCTCGCGGATCTGGTCGTTCATGGGCAGCAGCTTGAGCTGGGCTCCGATCTGCAGCGGCTGCGGCCCGGGCTCCGGGGGTGGGACCCCATTGCTGCCGCTGTCCGGGCTGGGGCTGCTGTCGGGGCCGGGCTCCGCGAAGCGGATCAGCCGGGTGCTACCACAGCCGCCCCCTGCCCCGGCCGCCGGCTGGTCCTCCTGCTGCCGCGGGCCGCCCGCCGCGCCCAACGGCTGGTTGTGGCAGGGCATGGTCTCCATGCAGCGGGGCGCGCGCCGCCACCAGCCGTCCGCGCGCAGCCCGGGACCCTCGCTACCGGCCGGGCCCGGCCCGCCCCGTCCGCGCCCATTGGCTCCCGGCCCTGCCACTCACCACTCAGGCGGGGGCCAGCGGCCGGGAGCATAAAGCCCCGTTTCCCGCCACGCCCGCTTCCTGTGCGGAGCACGCGGGCGGCGGCGGGCAGAGGGTCCTCTCCCGGCGCGAGCGGGCTGGGCTCTCAGTTCCCGTCCCGTGTCGCCTTCCTCCCCCACACAGCTCCTTCGCGTGCCCCCTGCTGTCCCCTTCCTTTCCCCGCCGGGCAGCGCCCCGCGCGATGGGCCGCTGCGCCCTGCTGGGGTACCCCGGTGACCCGCCTGCGGACGCGCCTTTCTCCCCTTAGCCTCCTTCCTTCCACGTCGGCATGTCCCTGGCGCTCCGCAGCCGCGTCGCTCAGGCATCAGCAGGGCCCCTCCCTGCCCCCCGGCAAGTTAAATACAGGGACCCCTCCCGCTGCCCTGGCCCCGTGAACCCGGCCCAGCTTAGCCCCCAGTATCCTCCCCCACGTGCCGACTCGAGCCCCCCTGCGGAGAAACGCCTTCGTGGGGATCCCTGGGTGGGCAGGCGCCTGGCTGGGCTCCACACCTTACGGGGGCTGCTCTAGCGGGGTCGCCAGGGTGATTTGCAAATGGGGATTGAGAGTTCAGCTCAGCAGGTGTTTTGGGGGGGGTGTCTTTAACTATTGCAAAGGGGCAAACCCTCTGCTTAACCCTTGTGTGTTCGGCACGTGTCAGGATTGTCCGAGCGGGTTAAAGGGATTGCAAGGGACCCTAACAGTTTAACGGCCAAAATTGTTGTTGAAGGGTTTTGCCAACTCCAAGGATAGAAATATATATTTAACGTCAAAGGAAGTGGTTTTGCATATTGATTTAATAGTCCTTAATGATGATGAGAGACTAGCTGGCATTGGGTAAACTCTACCCCCACATCCCTCCAGCCTTCCTTCCTATGGGATATAGCGATGGTTGTATTTTCATCTGGGTCCTATCACATACGCACTAAAACTGAAATGTGTTGTAAGGACAAGCCTACTTGATGGAGGGGAGGGGTATGCCAACTAGAGCTGTGTAAGGCTATTACCTGGTCTCTCTGGACAAACTTCAGCTGTGCTATCCTCCAGGTGTTCAGGGGGCTAATAAAAATGGCTGCTTGGGAGATAGGTAGGCGTAGGAGAATGTCTTTGGTCAGGTAGTGTTCTATCCCCAGGGTCAGAGGAATGGATCTAATCACAGGCAGGGAGCTTTTTTAATTTCCTTTCTGATTATATTAACTAGCTTTACTTGTCATGAGTACTAACCCTTGAGGAAAAATACTTTGTTGACTATATGTGTGTATTCCTTCCCAGTTCCCATACTAACTAAATGTAGCTGGGGCTTCCTATTGCCCCATACAGGTATTGTCCTGAACTAAACAGTCATTGAATGCTGACTATGCTAAATATTACAGTGCAGCCTTCCTTATCTGAACTAATTGGGTTAATGATATCTTTGAAGAGGATATTTGAGGATAGGAAAAAATAGGGGATGAATTCTGGACTGATCTGCCCCCAAAATAAGCATCCACAGATGGTAATACTTATATTATAAATAGCCAGAGTTTGACAGATTTATTTGAAAAAAATCCCAGGTGCCCATCTTATGTGCAAAATTTCAGATAGGATATTTTTTCAACAGAGAAGTTGTGAACTCGTCAAGAGTGGGGGTTTATAATGGGAATAATGGCAGAGCCTTAACTGTAGAGGCACAAACACAGATCTTTCGTTGGAGTTGAGAAGTTTGATTCTGCAATAATTAAGGGATGCATATCGGTAACTCTAGGCATGTGCCTATTAGGAAAATAGGAATTAAAAAAAAAAAATAAAGCAAAGCCTTGGTACATCTTAATTATCTTGTCAATCCATTTAACCAAGAACTAGGTATGTAATAATACTGCAGTTTGCAGAGCATAGTAGCATTCAATGAGAACTTCTTGTATGATTTTTTTGTAATGCTTAATCATATATACAATGGAGAGAAGACAAGATAGGACTCCATGAAAGGCTGGACCACCATAAAAGTGCACCTATAGAAACAATTTCTAGGGTTGAAATTCAGAGAGCCTCAAACCAGGATTCATTTTTCATACTCCCAAAGTACTTATAAAGGTATTTGGAGTTATAAAATTGTATGTGCATCTGTGGATGCTTTCAAAATGTTTACACATTACACTCTTAAATGCATTTTTTGTGAACACAATCAGAGGCTGCTGAAAATGTGGCCTAAACTTGAAGTTTAGATTATGTGCAGCGAATTTTCAGTGATGGGAAATGGAGCACAGGCCTCTCTGCCGGATGGATTTACCTGGAATGTAAAGTGCTCTGGGATTGTGTGCTTTTAAATTTTAAGATGAACAGCAGCCCAGGAACCCAACTGAAAGGCTGCCAGATAAGTTGTATCCCATAACAGGAGGCATGAGTGTGGGGACTGAAGACTACTGCAGGAAAGAATTATAGGAGGCTCCAAGGAGAAGGGAATCTGACCTCAGGAAGTTTAAATATGTAACCATAAACATCTCACAAACCAGTCTGAACCTGAGTCCCAAAAGTCATGGCTTGTGCATACCCCTAATGTGTTTGTGTTTTGGGGGCTTAGAATTGGTTCAACCTGTGCTGCTCCTTGTTATACTTATGATCTTTTCACTCCTGCCTTGTCCTCCCTACCCGTCTCTTGTATCCACCTGTTGTCTCTCATCATATGTTAAAATTATAAGCTCTTTGGAACAGAGACTAAACAGAATTTATTACAGCACCTAGCCTTGCTCCCTGATTTGGGACTCTGAATGCTACCACAATACAAATAATTATATTAATGTCAATGAAATAAACTTGATGGCTGCTATCTTGGCCCAGAATAAGGGTCCATTCCTGCCCCCACTGAAGTCAGTGGGAGGTTTGTCATTGACTTCAATACGAGTTAGAGTGGGTTACAAGCTAATATAAAATATACAGTTTGGCACATTTGTCATGTTTTCCTTCAAGAAGAGTAGTCTGAATTAGGTTCTGTGGCCTCTCCCACTATTAAGAGAGTATGTCACATCAGCTGTTGAACTCAGCATGAAGCGCATGAGTAGTAGGTTCCAATCCCATTAAGTGAGGCATCCTCAGGGAGTGCTGTGACAATGCAACTGTTGTTGCTTGGCCCTGCCTGACAAAAATCACAGATGGGAGCCACATTACTGCATGGTCCCTGCTAGAAGACCTAATGCAGGATCAGGTCTTACATTGGAATAAACTGGAAGTAAGTGCACTGAAATCCAAGTTAGACAGTGTAAAGCTTGTGGAAGGAGAAACAGAAACCAGTCCTATGTGTATGACAGAAAAATCAAGTTGTCAATTGTCTATTCATTGTGGTATTATTTCTAAAATATTATTCTTAAATTTATGTATTAGAGTCTGCCCTCTTGAAATTCATACTAGCTATCAGGTCAGTCGATTTCTCCTCCCTATTTCATGTTAACTGACAAAACTCAGAAATTCCAAGTCCTGTGAATTGTGTTGTATCACCGTCACTGCTCACTGAATTCTGATTGTTAATTAAATGATGAGACTTCTAAATTCCAAGCCATTAATTGGACTATATTACAGTCATGGCCAGGAATACTTATCAGTGAATCTGATGTTTACTGCCTGCTTTATAATTACAGTTAATACGCCAGGTCCCTTGAGGGTGAGAAACAAGACAGAATGGAAGGGGAGCAAACACAAATGTGAGGAGGGAAGAAAAGAGAGGAAAACAAATCCATTGCTGCTCCAGGTACACACACAAAAATTTAAACCTCTTCCCCAACACTGCTCTAAACCTCCTGAAACAGCCACTTCTTGTTATGTTTCTACACAGAAAGCTAAATATATACTTTCTGTCTACAATTATTTTTATATTTAGATTAAGCATATCAGCAAAAAAGAACAAAAGTAAAGTCTACATGTGAGAGCATTGTGTTGGTGTGTCACCTCTGCACATGCTACAGTAATCCTGACGTCAAAATGACTGCTATCTCTACACACATACAGAGTTCTTGGGCATTTAAAGGTGTAGTACACAGAAAAGAAAGTGCAGAACACTGAAGGTGGGGGGAGAATTGGGGAAGAACATTTTCTGCTGAGACATAAAACCTGAGATTTTATAAGAACTATTAGCGAACAATTTAGCTGAGGAAGTTAGTCCTTTCTTTGGCTCACAATGACCACATGCAATCTGCAATATTTTTAATAAACTTGTTCAATATTTACAATTGCTCAACTAACACTTTATGCAAAGATATTTTATATTGTGCGTTGTTTGTAAACTGTTCTCTGCAAGGATTCATTTGGTGTTCACTGCTCATTTCAAGCTGTGTGGTTGGTCATCAAGAAACTTCATATTGTTCCTTCTCCATGATTGGATTAACATAATTTTTTTTTATAATTTCCCGTGGGAACACACATACTTGTGTGAATATGAGACTCCCCTGAATATTTGTATGAACAAAACCTTGCACATCCAAATGTTAGCAAACAGCAAAAAATGGGCTTATGAATACTGCTGACGCAAATTCACTTATTTGATATGCATATATGTTTGCAAATACTGTTTTGCAGTATTTGCCCATTTCTAGTCCTAACCATTTCACATAATGAAAAAAAAATTATAAAAAACACAGCTGTTGACCCAATGGTCATGACCAAATTAAAGTTCAGTTAATTACTTTCTGCCTGCCTATATCCACACTGTAGTTTACTGGATTTTGCTCCAATTCCTGCCCTCAGTTGTTGTGTAGTAGAGTGGGACGACCCCAGCAACTGGAGGCCCATCTCCCTCTGCTCCACAATGTACAAGCTGTATGCCAGGATCATGGAGTGGTCGGTGGATCATGGAGTGGTCGGTGAGCGGGGGAGCCATCAGCTCCATCCAGAAAGGCTTCATGTCGTGCGAGGGCTACTACG